CCATGGCTGCGCGGTAGCTCTGCACCGCGCTGTACCTCTCGGGGGCCTCAACCTCGCGGTCCATCAGCCACTGCATCACCGCCACGGTCTCACACGTGATCTCGCCATTGAGGGCACCCCACACGTCAGAGGCCTGGGGGGGAGAGGGGAGGAGAGGGGAGGGGGATTGGTCCAAGGGGGGATCCCGGGTGAGCTTAGGGTCCAGGGCGGGGTGTGCATCACGCATAGGTGGGTGCAGCCGGTTGGCATGTGCTGGCTCAAACCCAACACGAGGTGGTGGCGCGGCAAGCGAGGTCGGGCCACAATGGAGAGGTCAGGAAGGGCCAGCCCTCTGCCCTTGCCCTCGCCGCACCTCCTCCCGCGGCATCTGCCACCACCCCATCTCCCCTGCCCATCCCTGCTCCCCGATCCCCCCCCCCCCAGTGTACCTGCAGCCAGTGTACGTAGGGGCTTGACGTGAGGCCCATGAGGTACTCCATGGCCACCTCCACCCCCAGCAGCAGCACCTTGTTCAGGGGGCGCTGCAGGACGGACGCCAGCAGGCGCAGCGGCGCACCCAGGACGCGGCCAGCACGGCCCAGGCGCGGATGCATCAGCCACACCGAGGCGCGGCGCACCCAGAACAGGCCATAGGTGGCGGTGTTGACGACCCACGTGCTCGTGGCGTCCCTGGGCCAGGCGGTGATAAGGGAGGAGGGAGGGGGGTTGAGCCTGGGTGATGTCCAACGCCTCTGACGCGCATTTCACTAGGTACCAGTGCAGCAGCAGCCGCGTGGGCTCGGCTTCACGCCCTGCCCAACCCCGGGTCCTGCCACCTGCTGCCCTGAGACCGCCCCTGCCCTGCTCCTCCTACCTCAACCGCCCTCCCCTTTCTTGCCCCTTGGCTGTCCCCTCCCCCCCCCCGTCCCTGGTGCCCCACCTCTCGATGATCTCCCAGAGGGCCAGGGGCTTGTAGGGGTCGTCCAGCAGGGTGTCGCAGCCAAAGTCCAGGATGCGCAGGGCGCGCGCTGACAGCAGGCCCTGCATGCGCTTGCCATGGAAGTAGCGCTTCAGGCCTGCAGGCGGTAAAGAGGAGGGTGCGGAGGGAAAAGAGGGGGTGAGTGGACCGGGGGTGTTTGAAGGGCAACGAAACACTGTAGGCAGGGCGCATGTTATTGCTGCTGCAAAGCTGTGGTGGGCGAGCAGCATTTGGACGGCAGGCCCGAGCAACGCCCCACCGGCCACCCCAGAACGCCACACGTCGCCCCCTGATGTCTCACCCGACACCAGCCAGGTGCGCGCATCCGCCAGCTCCTCCGCGTGGCCGGCGTCTTCGTAGCACTCCGAGGACGGGCGGCCGTCTGCGCCCTTGGCGCCGTTGCCGTCATCGTTTAGGCTGCGCCGCCCCAGCACCGACACTGGCGATGTCGTGCTCAGCGGCGGGGAGCGAGACGGCAGCCCGCCCTCTGCCGCGCCAGCCGGCCGGCTCGAGCGCGCCAGCTTTGACAGCGGCACCGACTGCGCGTGCAGGTTGCCGCGACGCGGCGCACCGCCCGGGCCGGCGGCGCCGCCTGCATACGTTGCGGCGAGGCCGGTTGAGATGCGCCCCAGGGCCGGGGCGATGGGGGCCATGTGGGGGGCGCCGCCGGCGCCGGTGCTGGCCCGCGACAGGGCTGGCAGGGCGCGCGGCAGCGGCTCCCCACTGAGGACGGGCGCCAAGGGGGGAGCCAGGCCGCCGCCCGGCATGCCGACGCTGCGGGTGGCGAGGGAGCGCAGCGACGGCGCCTCGGTCTCGCTCCCGGCCTCTGCCCCCGCAAGGTCACCGGCTGAGCGGCCGCCCGCAGCGCCGCCGCCGTATCCAAACGGCCGCGGCGCGGCGGCGGCAGCTGTTGAAGCGGGGCTGCCGCCCGAGGCGTGTGAGGCGTCGGCACCGCCGTAGGCACTGGCCATGGTGACGCTGCGCGAGGCGAGGCCACGCGAGGGCCGACCCAGGGCGCGCTCTGTGGGGTCGGACGCCAACGCGCCCGACTGCAGCGGCGCCGCAGCAACAGATGCGCGCCCAGCAGCGGCGGCGCCGCCACCATGGCCGCTGCCGCCGCCAGTGGCCAGGGCCCCGCTTACTGAGAGCGCGGTTCGGCCTGAAGGAATGAGTGGGGCGGAGGGGGGAGGCGACAAGGCAGAGGCGCCGGCCGGAGCGGCCGCCGCAGAGGGCAGCCCGCCATCAGCGGAGGCGCCCGGCCCACCGCCCACAAAGTAGGGGCTGGCGCTGCGTGTAGCGAGCCCGCGCAGCAGGGAACCCTTGGGCTTGGCCGCTGCCGCCGCCGCCGCCTGCGCCTGCACCGTCTTGCTGCGCGCGCTGCGCGCCAGCAGTGCAGCGCTGTATGCATCGCCCGCCACACCCGCCTCGCCGTCAGCCGCCGTGGCGACCGCGGCGCCGCCTGCGCCGGTGCCACTTCCGCCCATGCCCCAAGAAGGCAGCGCGGCTGGCGGCGGCACGGCCGGCGGCGGCGCCGCTGAGCCTCCAGCACCGCCTGCCTTGCGTTCTTCGATGCTGGGCCCGCTGCGCCTGCGGTCTGCCCCCTGCCCGCCGAGCCCGAAGCGTGTCTTGCCGGCCAGGGGGCACTCCTGCTGCAGCACGTCGATCTGGTCGGGCCGCGTCTCGCCAAACACGGGCAGCATCTCCATCAGCAGCCCTGGCGGCAGGCTGGGCCGTGTCAGGCTGTCGCGGCTAACTCCGCTGGCGCTCACGCTGGGGGCCTCGCTGGGCTGTGGCGGCGCCGGCGCGGCGGCGCCGCTGCCGATGACGCGCACCGGGATGCCCTCCTGGCGGTAGGGGTGGTGGCCGTGGCCCCCATCTTGGCCCTCGTGCCCACCACCGCCGTCGTCGTCGCTGTGGTGGCCCAGCCCCTCCTCGTGGTGCTCCTCAATCGTCGCGTGGAGGCCGCCGGCACCGGAGCGGAACGGCCAGTGGAAAAGCCCGCCCCCGCCATCAGCTGCGCCGTCGTGAGCCGGCGCGGCGGCGCCGCTCGTGCCATTGAAGGAGGCGGCCTTGCTGAAGGATGGCTGGGCGCCAGCGCCCCGGCCCGCCAGGTCAGCATCAGGCGCCGCTGACGGGGGCTCCCGAGGGGGCGCAAGCCCTAACTTGCGCGCCAGGGTGCCAAAGAGGCCGCCGCGGGCGGCCCCACGGGGAGTTGTGCCCCAGGCGCGCCCGCAGCAAGCCGCCAGGCGGTGCAGCAGAGGGGGGCCCTTGGGGTGCTCCAGGCTCTGCCCGAAGGCTGTGAGCTTCTGTGTGAAGTCGCAGAAGCGCTGGACGTGGGCCCAGTCAACGCCTGGCGGGGGACAAGGTCCGTTTTTGAAGGGTGGTTCTGGTTGTCAGACAAGGCACAATCGGAGCAGTGCTGTGGGTGCAGTACAGCGCGCACCCGCTCGCCGCGGTCTCAATCGGTTGATGCACTGGTGGGTGAGTTGGCGCTGACCACGTGATGCCACTCCCCCAAATACCGTGTTTCACCCTCCGCCTCCAAGTGCCCCTACCCCTTCTCCTCCCGCCCGCCCCTCACCCGTGAGCATCTCCTCCTCCTCAGCCCTGAGCTGCTCTATGGCGGAGGCAGTGTGGTCCGCCAGCGCCGCCACCGCCCTCCTGCGCCGCGCCAGCTGCTTCTCGGGGATTGCGGACAGCCCCGTGACGCGCAGCACCCAGGGCAGGAGGGGTGCGTTGATCAGCAGCGTCAGCAGCACAAAGCCGGCGGTCCAGAACACCAGCTCGCTCTTCACCACCTGGGGCCCGTGAGGGGTGGGATGGCGAAGGATAGTGGGCAAGACGAACGTGGGTGGCTTGCGGGGGGCACATTGCAGGCCGTGGCGTCGTGGAGGCAATGAGGGGAGCTGCGGGTCCTGACGGGCCACCTCGGCCGGGCTGGTCGACGGCGCTGGGTGCCGGCCAAGCAGTCACGCAACCCTTTTTGCTTGCGGCCCCCAAGTTGGTGCGACCTCGCAGCGCCCCGGGGGGGCCCCCTCCCACCAGGTCTGTCTGGTAGGCCACCTCAGTCACCACCGCCTGCCCCATGATCAACGACGCGGCGCCCCTCAGGCCGGCCATGGTCAGGAATGAGCAGTCACGCAGCGTCTGGAAAGAGGAGGGCGGCGGCGACGTGGAGCCACATGGGAGGGCGCATCAATGGTTGTGTTAGGCAAGCTGCGCGTGCGCTTGACGTGCTGGTTGTGCACGAGCTGCTCACGCACGAACGCCTCTCCAACTTGGGTGTCGCACCAGGTCCCCCCTGATGGCCTTGAAGAGGGGCCTGAAGGCCAGCGTCAGCACGAAGCGCATGACCATGAGGATGACGTAGATGATGGGCAGCATCCAGAGGGTGCGCCACAGCTCACGCCGCGTGTACTCGTTCCCCGTGTACAGGTTGAATGAGGACCTGCGGGGAGCACATACGCGCATGCACGTGGTCAGTGATGAGATGGTCGCGAGAGGTGGGAGAGGCCGTTGTGACGCAGGAATGCTGGCGTGGAGGGCTGACAGTGCGCTTCATACCTTGGCAGGCGCTGCGCGAGCGCATCCTGGAGTGCTGCATGTGCCCTGCCCCCACCTGATGAAGAAGTTGACGGTGGCGGCCCCCGCGTAGGCAAAGACCATCGCGTTCACGATGAAGGCCAGGGTCTCCCAGAATCCATCAAAGGTGCCCTCACTCTCGGCCTTGACTGAGATGTCCCTGCAGTGGGGGTTGGGTAGGGGGCAGAGGGGCCGCATATGCTCGCACACACATGCGCATGCCGACTGTGCGAGTGAGTGTGTCAAACCAACCAGCGTTCGGGGAGGCATGCTGCATTGCAGACGCAGCAAAAGCATACATATTCACCCGCATTTGATACACCACGCCATGAATGTGTGTTGCAAAGCCCGGCGCTCATCCAATTTGCTGCATGCAGCCTTGCTGGCCCTGCCCACCACTTGTTCTTGGCAGCGCCATAGAGGCCCATCACCGCCACAGCCACCACGCCTGCACAGGTAAGGGCAAGGGCAAGGGTGAGCGATCCCAACCGCCACGGCTTTGCGGGCTCAACATTCATCAGTGGCTCCTGCAGGCCACAGTACCCCCACGCCGTTGCACACCTGAGCCCTTGCAGGGGCTGCCTGTGATCCAGTATGCCAGGTAGGCCTGGCGGGAAGTGCGCAAGTGGGGTGAGGTGGGGGTGGGCAGGTGGGTGGGGTGAGGTGTCAGCATCAGAATGGCCGGGCCATAACACCAAGCACACAAAGAGAACGCGTGCTAAGAAAGGTCCCTTTATGCACTCACAGCGCAGCCTGCGCGCCTCACCATGGCGAGCGTGAGTGCGACCTCCTGGTCGCGTCCAGCCCCGAAGCGCCTCATCACGCGCAGCATGGCGCGCGTTAACCAGCCAAAGAAGTAACCTAGGAAGAAGCCGACTGAAAAGCGGGGAGCAGGTAGGTGGATGGGTTGAAGGAGGGGTCAGGGCGACGGGATCTACCAGGGTTAGCTTCAAAGGCGTGCGTCCCACACTCAAATTTGCCTACAAGGGGATGAAGGTGATGGCCGTCATCGCAGCTCAGACAGAGGAACGAAACCTGCATCCCCCCAAGGAGGAGCGCGACTCACTGACGCCAAACTGCAGCACCATGAGCACCACGTGGCCCACCACCTCCCCCACAGGCTGCTCGCCAGCCTCAGGGTTTTGGGCATACAAGATGACCTGGGGAGGGTGGGAGCCACACAGCAGGATTTAGGTCCACGGCCACACGTTGACGGACGCTGGTGGAGGTTATACAGGCGGTAGGTTGATACAGTGTTAAAAATCTGCGGCGCTTTGCGCCAACCCTCGCCAGCTGCCAGCCATTCCTGGGGGTCCGACTGACCTGGTGGAAGAAGACTTCAAACAAGGTCAGCCCAGAGGCATCATTGAGCAGCGACTCGCCCTCGAGGATGATGCGCAGGCGCTTGGGGCCACCGCCTGAGGTTGGGGTCAACGCGGGCCACAGGTTAGGCTGCCAGCCACTTGCCGTGTTCATGGCGTGCACTTTCGCAGAGTGGCCTGCACCTGATCAACGTGGCCCCCCACAAGAGACAAACTACCCCCAACAAACCCCTCCTGCTGCATGACCCCCACAGCGACCATGCCGCCCCTCCGGGCCGCCCCCCGCAGCCCCCCCTCACTGGTCTTCATGATGGACACGATGGCGACGGCGTCGGTTGAGGCCACGATGGCCCCAAACATGCAAGCGTGCAGCCAGTTCCAGCCACTGTCCTTGAGGCGCAGCAGGTGGAGCATGATGGGCACCATCAGCGCGCAGCCCGCGCCCACCACCAGGAAGGCCATCGTCACGACCTGGACCATCACCTGGCCGGGAGGTCCCGGATGGAGGGGGGGGGGGTGGGGGGGAGTGTGTCATGAGGCTTGCGCAGTGGGCTGGAGCGTGCTGACAGGTGACGCCAAAGTCTTCCGAACCGACTGCATGCCGGACACATTTCTGCTTCGGACATCCCCCGAACACAGCTAGGGCGTTGCGCACATCCTACAGTACCTTCCCTGCACATCTTTAACCTTCACCACCCAGACACACACCCTCACCACCCAAACACATCGTCTCTGCATCCACCCTACCTTGCGAAACATGTACCAGTCGATCCTCACGGCGGCATCCAGTAGCAGTGGGGGCAGGAAGATGTAGAAAAACAGCTGCCACGGGTTGATGCCCAGCCAGATAGCCAGGGAGTTGCCCAGCTGGCGCAGGTTGAATGGCCATGCCAAGCCCGCGAGTGCAGCGCCTGGGGGAAGGAGGGAGACCTCGGGGTTGCGGGGCCGCAGCGTGGCCAGCCACAGGCATCGGCTGTACTGGCACCCCTGCACGATGTCAGCAGCCTCCAGACTAAGCCCTGCAGCCTGAACATGCTCAACCCCCAGGAGAAGCCTAGGGAGCGTGTCAGCGTGCCCGACGCCTTTCTTGTCGGCTGAGGCGTCGTGCGCGTCATTCACCGTCGCATGTCAGGGTGCTCCTTAACCCGGGCACCCACCTGCCAGAAGCACCATGAGAGACGCCAGCTTGCCATGAAGCATGCAGGCCAGCACCACGGCAAGCCCGCCAAACAGCACCACATCGTAGGAGCTCTCGGGGACGATACACCAGTTGTACGCGTCTGCAACGCATATGCGGCGCGGCTTCAACCAACATCCTTTAGCGTTTGGCTGGTGCCTCATGCCTAGTGCCTGCGCGCCCCCCATGCGGCCGTTGGAGTGCGTAATTGCTGCTCCGCAGGGCGTTTGCTCTGCCGTCTGCTTGCCCAGTTGCTCAGGCCTTGCCAGCCAGCACAGTCACCAGCGCTTGCTAAAACACAACTTCAGCCCTGCTACGTGCAGCGCTCACATGGATTGTCGACACGAGTGAAGTAGTCAACTGTACTGTTCATGCACAGCAACTCAGAAAGGTGGTTCGTGGCACCATGGCCGTCGCCATGCCCGCTGGCGTCGCCACTGCTTGCGCTGTGCTGCTTTTCGCCGGTGCTGGCGCTTGCTGCCCAACTGCTGGTGACGAGCGCCAGCAATGACACGGCTGTGATCACCAGCCGACGCATGGTGTGGCAGACTGGTCTGTGCAGGGTAAGAGCTTTCACATGTGCGCATGTGCAGTGATCTGCGCAAAACTTTTTGAAACCACTGAATTCAATCAATTCGTAAGAAAGTCATTGCCTGCGAATAACGACGCCTCCGTCAAGCGAATTGGCTTAGGGCTTGTCGAGGGTTGCTGATTTGCACTCTTGGGCTTGCCCCATGTGACGTCCCATCCCAAGTATTCAAATATAATTTGTGGAGTCGAAAAATCCACACACTTTTGTGATGCCCCTCACCGGTCGGTATTGAGCGGCGCTCGCAGCACTCGCAGTGGCGGAGTGCTGGGGCGTTCCTGGCCTACTGTACTCGTTGTGCACCCGCCCGACCCCGTCCTGGTGGTGCTCCGGCGCCCTCCAGACACGGCCCTGTAGAAGCACCCTTGAGGCATAGGCACAATAGTGACGGCCATACGCGCGTGCAGCTCCTGTAGGCAACGGATATGGTGCCGGGCCTCGTCGCGCGTGTGCTGCGGCCGCTGCTTCCGATCCATGATGTCTCGACGGCCTACTCCGGAGCGCACCTGCCGCAATTTCTGGAGGACTGCCGTCCTGGAGGGTACGCGCGGCGTAAACGCTCTTGCATCGGCAATGGCTTGCGTGGTGCAGTGCAGCTGCCCCAGTAGGCCCGTGCGGGTGCGCAAGGCGCACGATGCGTCACTGCTCACTCTTCTGCATGCGCGCAGGCCACAGCTCGTGAAGGCCTTGCAACTGCTGTACCAAGACGTGGAGCCCCTTACAGTGGCCACTGCAGACATGGCAGCAGTGTACGCTGCGGCGCTGGAGGCGGCCCGGGCGCAGGGCTGGCGTATCACGGCAGAGGCGGCACCCTCGCGCCTGCAGGCTCTTGTGGTGACGAGGTAGGGGCGGGGGATATTACAACTTGCCTTAAGTTAAGTAACTTTGCTGATGAAAAAGGCGCTGAGCAGCAGTGGGTGGTGGGCCGGGTGGTTGGGTGTGCAGTGGTCTAGATGCAGGTGAAAGAGGGCAGCTTCGGGGTCGCCTATGTGCTGCACGTGCTTAGGCACCCCTGCCCAAGCCCCACTCAAGACCTGAAGCAGCATCAACTGGTCCACGCCGAGCCAGGCTTTGGAAGTTCAAAGACGACGTTGTCGTGACGGTGCGCTCTGTGGAGGGCGGCAGGACGCGCGTGGACGCCCGGTCACGCAGCCGCATCGGCCAGGGTGACATGGGCGCCAACGGTGGCCGGCTTGTGGCATACTTGCGCGCCCTCAAGGGGGTCTTGGCTGCAAATGGACTGGACGTGGTTGAAATGTAGCTGAACTGGCTTTACTGGATAGTCGTCTTTAGACAGCTCGACTTCCACCAACTGCGTCTTGCTAGGAGCTTAGAGCTTCCTCCCCAGCAAGCTGCTCTGCACATGACATTCACAGTAGCTTCTGTCGGTGGTTTCTGTGTCCCTCACTTTGTTCAGCAGTGGCATTGCAAGTCGGTCGCAAAGTTCTCATGCCAGATCAGTAACCAAGTACGTGTGATGATGTCTGCTGTTGGTTGTGCACCAGGAGCAGCCTCGTGTACGCCCCAACCTAGCGCGTTGTGTAGTAGGGCGGCGGCGGGCACTGCTCGGCTGAGCGCGAATGGCGCACGCGGCAGGTGCAACCCTTTTTAGAAGTATCGAACCCGTTGGGGCCACAGCAACCCTCCAGGTCGACGCCCGCCCACGTCCAGCGGTCCGGGGCGCTGTCGCGGAACTTGCCGGCGGGGTCGAGCTCGCGGACTGCGCATCTGAGAGGTGGTGGTGGCAGATTGGTGCAAGAGGTGATCTGCTCACGTGCGGCTCTCACGTGCGGGTCACAGGTGCAAGTGGCCCGCAGGGGTCGAGGTTCCGGGGCAGCCAAGATGCTTGTGTGAACCAGCGCAAGGCTGCCAGGTGCAGGCAGCAGGCTGCAGAAGATCATCGTGGCTTACCCGAAACTGCACCAGTTGTCGCCGTACTGCTCGTCACCCCGCCAGCAGCCTGGGTCAGGCCACCCTGCCTTGCCGAAGTGCAGGCGCACAGGACCCCTGCGACCCCACCAACAGCATGGGGGTGCGTGCTCTGTAGGTGAGTGTACAGGTAACTTTGAGACTGGATGAAGTGCGTGCGACCTCACCTGCGTTGGACACACATGCACACATTGTTCGACTGCCTGCCTGTGTGCGCGTTTGCCCACTCCCTGCATGCGCCCACCCTGTGCCGCGCCTACCTGGAGGTGCATCGCGGGTTGCTGAGGAGGGTGGCCATGACTGCGCGAAACTGACGGTTGGGGCGGCGTCCCTGATTATAAAACAAATAGTCTTCAAGATTCATGAACACCCTGCGGAAATGGATGGTTCCATGTGATGTCCAGGGCCGTGTGGCTCCGCTCACACGAGGTTGGGTGGTGGATGAAAGGGTCCATCGGCCCATGCAGGTGGGCGGTCTGGATCATTCTGTTGAACAGGCGCTGCACACGTTTCTGATTCACACACCTTGGACCATCGTGCACGTATGAGAGGAGACCGTCGTCCTGTCCCACCAGCCGGATCAAAGGAGCGGTTCTGAAGCCTTTGTCGGCGGTCCTGTGGCAAGGGGGAATCTGGATTTTGACACCTGATTTTGACACCAACAAACCACCGTGAGGGTGGGGGCCTCGCGGCGCCACAAGCTGTTCCCCCCTGCTGGCGGCCCCTGCTGGCGCCCCCCGCTGGCGCCGCCCCTAACTTGCAAGCATTGCGCACCAGTTGTCATTCTGTTGAGCGCAGGCGCATGGCTCCATATCTGGTTTGCTATTGCCCTTGCCCCGCCTGTCAGCTGTTACTTGAATCCTCTAGTGTGATGGTCCCAACCTGTTCACGGGGTCCTCTCCGGTCAGGGCTGTGCCATAAGATGTCTCTAGTACAGCTGAAAAGCAGTCGCCCGCCACAGCCAGAGGGAATGACACCTGCCAAAGATTGAGTTCGAAAAACGTTGCTCGCCACGGCATGTGGGGTGGCAGATTCAAGCCATTGGTTGAGCAGCACATTGAGCACTGAAAAAACCAGGCAACATTTGTCGGGCTCCACCTTGCAGCTCTGGCTAGACTACAGCCAGCCGGTGTTGCAACACCCGGCCCTTCATTCGTGCGCAGGCCCCTCCTACCTCGTACTGGTCGTACAGGATTCGGCGCAGCTGGGCCAGTGTTGTGTTGGGCTGCTTGATGTAGGCTGCCTGCAAGGGTGGCGAGCGCGGCCCAGGTGATGAGACTGAGAGGCAGGACTGCAGCAAATTAGGGGATCTGCCTGCTCTGCAGTACCGATCACGCATGTATTGCCCTGCTCTGCGCTGAACCATGACCTCTCCCAGCCCACCGTGGACTCCAGCGTAGCATTGCCAGCCACTTGCAGAATGCCAATGCGGCTGGCCTCATTGGTCCCCTACATGTTCAAGCAAGGAGGTGGGTGAGTCAGCATTAGCTGACATTTGTGTTACTTCACTCCCACTTCTTGCCAACGTTGGCTGCTGGCGGGTTGCCGTTGTGCCAACCAGGCTCTGGTGGGTCAACGAAAACATTGGAAGTCACTGTGCGCCACCAAAACCTCACCTCTGCCATGTTGACTGCCGCGTAGAAAGCTGTGATTTCAGGAGCCAGGGCAGCGTTGCGTGCCAGCGATGAGGTCTTTTGAGACCAACATTGACTTGTCGTTGCGATGCAGGTGATGTCTGGTGTTGGTGGTTCACGGCCACTGAAAATGCACGTCGCAAGCGTCCCTGCAAAATCACCTGCTCACCTGAGGGGCGGTTGTGCGTTGGCTCGGGCCACGTCTGGCCTGCGGCTGGGTCAGCGTTATCCTCCCTGGGCACAGGCTCGTTGATCACGGCGATTACGTCCTTGATGACCTGGGAGGCCCTCTCAGGCAAACCTTCTTTGGGCAGCGGCTGGGTGCTAGTCAGCTGCGCACTGGTGAGATTAAGCACAGCATCAGCGGGCAGCTGGATCTCTCCCATTGCCAGCAGCTCCCCTTTGGATGCAAAGACTGTGGTGTTGTCTGGTACAAAGCCCGCCTTTGCCGCGGCGGCCAGGGTGCTGTTGCATTCGTCGGCGCGCTGGAAGCTCACCCTCATGAACTCGTACTTCTGCAAAGCGACAGGCGGGCGCAAAGGGGAGAGTCGGTGGGTAGCCGGTGTGCGGGTCAGGGAACACAACAGGGTCTGCCTGTGATCAGATGAACCAACAAGGCACGCAGAACCATGTTCCTCGCATAACTTGAGCTCCACTCCACATGGTGCTCCGCAGGTATGGATCGTGAAGCCCAGCCCCAGTGCACCGCCTCTCACCACATACAGGCCCACCTGAGGAATCCAGAACCACTCGGTCTCGTTGGCCCAGGAGGGCAGCGCTGCCCCAGGCCGCTGCTCCTGCAGGGCGCGCGCTGCCTCTTGCAGCTCCGTCATTTCGGCGAGAAAGGCAGGTGGTGCCAGACGCACCAGCTCACGACGCACAGGTACCTCCCTGACAATGCGCAGCTTGGCACGGGTGATGACTCCGAGCTTGCCCACCGACAAGCGCAGCGCCTGGTGGTTGGCAGGAGAGAACATCAAGGTGATGCAGGTCTCTCAGGGGGCGATCCCTCACACAGTACAGGGGTGGTTGGGGTCTGGGGAGGCAGCTGTGGTGCAATCTCCCACGCAGGGTTGGAACGGGTGAATCAGCCATGACTTCTAGTTGCAACGATTGCCAGGCTTCTGACCAGACTGCGCAACGCGATGTTGCCTTTCACTCACCCTGAAGAGGAAAGGGTCCTTTTCGGGTGTGAAGCGCCGCAGGCTGCCGTCTGCCAGCACGACGTCCAGGGCCAGCAGCTGCCTGTTGCTGGAGAGCGACCCCCAGGACATGCTGCTGCCGTGAGTGCCAGTCGCAATGGCACCAACAATGCTTTGAAAGACAAACCAAGGAAAAGCTGGCAGCGTCCAGCCTGCCGGGGCGTCCTTGGTCACATAGTTGGCCAAGTACTGCAGCAGGGCGGTTGAGCGGTGACATGCAAGGTAGGGATACGATTATTGGCTCTGAGGTGCGCACGCATGCATGTCAGGGGTTGACTGTTCAAGTATGCATAAAGTTGAGGTATGCACATGTGCATATGTGTGCATGTATACATGTGGATGTTAGTAGTAGTTGTTGTATGTGTATACGTGGGTGTGTGTTTGAGGAAGCCAGGGTGCTCAAGCCCATACTATTGTTGCATCCTGAAGGGGGCCGCGCGCACTGGTGGGCATGGTGTGCGAACCCACGGTGTGTTTGCACGTGGGTTCGCACACCCACCCGTGCGTCTGTTGTGTGACACAACAGACGCAGGGGTCCCGATGATTACGCGCCCAGTATAAAGTCCAACAGACCAACCTGCAACAGGTCCCACGTGATGACAGCAGCATCCACCCAGACCGACTCATCAGTGGTGTTGACATCGATTGCCAGGGGCCGCATTGTGGTCAGGGCAATGTTGGCTGCCGTCCCATGCCGTCGCATGGTGGGTGAGAAAGTGGCATTGGCGTCAACCAGGCGCGATGGGGCGACTCTGTCGCCTGAGGAGTTTAGAGCAGCTACGAGCGGCGGCTGGCTAGCGCAGAAAAATGGTTGGTTCCAGCTGTGGCCAGCGCCTGCAACGGGGATGACGGGCATTGTGGTGGCTATGATTTGCGTGAATGGCCAGGTGGCCGGGCCCTTTATATGGCCACCGCCGATAATTGCGTTTCAACAGACTCCCGATCGATCAATTCACCCTGGCTGAGCAGGTAGTTGCCCGACACAATTACCAGCAGCCCCTTTGCATCAGCGTATGCCGCCCAGCACCACCAGCTCACCCGACGCCATAACAGCGTCATGAATTGCAACAGCGTGCTGGATGTCTTGCACGTGCCTGGGCCTGCAACCGTGAGGCCGTGTTCACAGGGATCTCAAATGCGCAATGCAACTAGAGAGGCAGGTAGTGACCAACCAACAGCAAGACACCCATCCTTCACCTGACAATGAGCACAGTGTTGTTGTCGCAACCCAGCTCCTGAATTGGACAAGGGCAGTAGGGAAGATGGACTGTGAAGCCATCTCTGTGACGCTTGTGGCCCCACCAGTGGGTCCAAGCAAAGGTGGGCTGCCTTTGTCACACACCCAATCGTCCAAGGCGGCTGTGAGGGCCTAACCACGCGTTGTTCCTCTTGTTACCTGTTGAAAGTTGGTCAGGTCCTTGCCAAGCAGAACGGACGCACCGACCCCGGTCCACAGTGCCGAGACCAACGTGAAAAGCGCCCCCAACACCCCTGGAGCGCTGATTGCAGCCATTTGCCTCAGGCTGACTGGCACCCGTCAAGGGTACAGCAGTGCCCTGACGACCAACTGATACACAACACAAGTCGCAATGAGGGATGCCGATGCTCGACCAAATGCTGGACAATAAGTTACGAGGTTGCTTCCGCCGAGGATCTCGCAGCAGCGCATTAATAAACATGTCCCGAAATGGTTTTTGAAAAAATGTGCGTTGGAAACATACTGCCCAAGGTTCGCCTGGTTGCGACTGGCCGGCCGTCGCGGTTTGCAGGCAACTGACAAATTATGCAGCACCATGAAGCAGGCAACTGACCACCCATGCTGCTCAATAGGTGAAGAAAGTAATCTGGTCCATAAAATGCATGTTACAACGCACACCTTGCTCGCGGCGTGGCCAGTCACTTATCGTCGCCGCCTGCAGCAACCTCGGCGACAACCTCCTCTGGTGCGAACAGCAGCTTCTTGGTGGAGTTGTAATGCTCCCCCAGGCCGTACGCATGCCGCAGGAAGCACAGCGTGAGACCCTCGTCTGCGCCCTTCCCCTCCCCCAGCACCTGCGGCTGCATGCCCACGGCGAACACTGTGATGCGCCGCCCAAGCGCCCCTGACAGCGCCTGCAGCTCAACGTGGCCGCCCCATGTGGCGGTGGTCTCAACAGCGTCGCAGTAGCGTTCAAAGTAGGCCTCAGGGTCCTCTCCCTCGTCCTCAGGTACCAGGTAGGGCGCGAACTCCCCCCGGTGCGAGCGCAGGTGCTCCGCCGCCAGCTCCCGCAGCTCCTGGTAATCCGGCACCTCCTCCTCCTCCTCCCCCTCCCCCTCGCCCTCGTCCCCGTCACCGTGCTCTCCCACGTTGACGCTGCGGCCCTCCACCCCAGCGGCCGCCTTGGCCTTGGCGGCGCGGGCAGTGGCCCTGAGCTGGTCCTCCACTGAGCGGTACATGCAGTGGCCGTCCGCCTGCACGCGAGAGGTGCCAATTAGCAAGAGATCCATGGCAGCCCCGGGAGGTAAGGGAGCAACGCCGTATTGTCGCCATCACAGCACGCAGCATGCGCCTATGAGCACTGTCCCCAGCAACTCCTATCGCGCCGCACCCAAAAGCACACTAACAACTTAGATCCCTCGGCAGCACCTCGGCGTAACAGTACTGACTGGTCCACAGCCATTTCAGCGCGCCCGGCAGCCACCCACCCGGATCTCCTTGATGCCCAGCCCCAAGGGGGCCAGCACGGCCTTGAGCGCCGCCTCCTCAGCCAGCCGCTCGGGTGTACCCAAGGCCTCTTTCTCCGCAGCAACGCGCGCCTCGCGCTCCGCGTCCTTTGCCGCATGCTTCTCGCGGCGCTTCTGGGCCTTGCTGGGGCGCTGATGGAGTGTTTGTGGGTGGGGTGGTGGTGGTGGGGGGGGAAGCAGGAGCGCTGAGATCGCAAGCCATTACAAATGGAACGAGGCCGTAGCAACCCGCCTGCAAGGCCTCCAGGCATGCGGAAGATACGCGCTCAAGGGCAAGTGAGCATAGCTCAAGGCATATGCCCCCTGCTGCTCCGTCGTAGCGAACGCGAACAGCGGTGGCGGGGCGCCAGCCAGCCCCCTGTCGCCCGACCGTCACCCTACCCTGGCCTGTGCTGCCGCTTCAGCGCTGTCAATGGTGAGGCCCTTGAGGTACTTGCTCAGAGGCTCCGCACCACCACCAGTAACAGCCTCGCCAGCGCCTGGTGGCGCAGCTGCCCCACCCCTAGGACCGCTACTCGCATCTGCCGCCCCTCCCGCCCCCCCGCCGTTTGCCGCCGCTGCGCTGCTGCTGCCACCGCTGCCCGCTGCGTCGAAAGCTGCCAGCTCCTGCGCATGGCGCTTCTCAATATCGGCTGTGAGGCGTGTGACCTCGTCCTTGGACTTTTTGCCGGACCGCTGCAGCGCCTTCTTATGGGCCAGCATTTCCTGCGGTGTGTGGTGTTTTGGGTGCCATGGCCGTGAAGGGTACCATGCGATGCGCAGATGATGGGGTGGTGGTGATGACATGGAGGTGCTGCTGCCAAGCTTCAGGCTGAAGCGCGAGGACAGGACGAGCACTGCAGACAAAAGTACACCGCGGCGCTTTGGCTTGTCTCGCACCCGCTTGTGGCGCTGCAGGATGTGGTTACGCGTCTGCTGGCCGTCTTCACCCTCGCCATCATCACTGCCACTGCCACCACCATCGCTTGCGACCCCCTCTTGCTTGGCAGCTGCAGGCTTGCTGGGCGCCACCTTGGCCAGCTGCTTTGGCTGGGCGACTTTCTGTTGCTGAGGACGCTCGGTCTCTGGCTCCTTTTGCTGCGGCTCCTCCTCCTCCTCATCAGGTCCTGGCCGCTTGGCTGCCGACTTCACAAACCCTTTCATGCCTTTGCGCCCCTGCGGAATGGCCCAAACGCCGTGGTGGCATACATGCATCGACGGCGCGCATGGTTCAACAGGCCGGGGGGCGCGCGAGACGGCTGCAGCACCGACGCAATGTCACGATCTACAGCTTTGAGCGAACCGGTTAGGCAGTTTCATATGGTCATTGCTCACCATTTCAGCGTGCACGCGCTTGCAGCCTCGCCAACGCAGATCTGCTCGATCACTGCGAGCTCGTGACAGCTACGAGGTGCTCTGGTATGGTGATATTTGCAGTACAGTCAGTTTCCATCTATTAGGCAGTTCGAATATCGCCCCTTGTCACCGCTCTTCCATCTAAGTCTTCTTGCTGAATGCCATCCCTGCGGAATTACTTTGTGCTGTCGAGGGACAGGAGACAGCAGATAACATGCCGTTGCACACTGCTTTAGGAATAGGTCGCAAGCCTGGCAGCGCCGGTACAGAGGCATCATCCGTGCTGGCGCCTTGCCATGTGCCGCGCTTCATCAGCAAGCCCGCAGTGGCTGCAAGAGCAGCAGCAGGGTCCACAGCAACAGCAGCATCAGCTGGGCGGCGCATCCGTGGTGCGGGTTACTATGAACGCTACCTGCGCAACAGGCGAAAGCGTGGCGGCGAATTCTTAGACGATGATGGGGTTGGCATAGAGGGCCCTGCAGCCCCACTTCCGCCTGGTGCCTGGCTGCCGCACCTCAGCGACGAGCCGCCGCCACCTGGTGTTTCGGCTGCAGCGCTTGCATTTGGAAATGCGGCGGGCGGCGCCGTGGCGGCACCTGGGCGGTGGCCGGCCCATGCGGCGCTGCTCCGCGGCGTTGTGCGCGAAGCTGTTGCGGCATACCGCCTGGCACCACCGCCCGAGGTGCAGCGGCCGCGCGATGCAGTGGACAGGCTGCGTGACCGCGTACCTGAGGACCAGGCTTCAGGTCTGCTGGCTGGCCTGGCGCGTGCAGACGGCCTCATCATAGGGCCACCCAATCTGCAGCAACAGCGGAACCCGGATGTGCAGCTGCCGCGGCTGCTGCGTGTGGAGGAGGCGTGTGCACATGGCGAGGCGGTCGAGGTGTACGCGTTCTGGGACGTGTCGAGCCTGCACCCACGCGCCCTGGACCCGCGGGTGGTGGTGCACCGAATGCGGCGCGTCTTGGCAGCAGCTGGTGAGGTCCGGGGGCTCTACGCCTACTGCGCACGCAGGCAGCTGTCATGGGTGCCCGAGGCCTTCATGCGCCTGCATGCTCCAGAGCGGCTGCAGGGCGGGCCGCGGGCGCGCGTGCCATCGCATCAGCAGCAGCAGCAGCTGCAGCAGCAGCAGCCGGCCGAGGCGGCGGCAGACTTGAAGAGCACAGCAGATGACGGCGGCGGCAGCAGCGGCGGCGGGGAGGGCGCACTGGAGCCAGCCGTCAAGCTGCGCTGCCCTGTGTGCGGCCAGGGCAGCCGCAGTTACGACATGCTGCGGCGCCACATGGGGCAGGTACACAAGCAGCGCGCGCCGCCCCTGGCTGAGCTGGAGCGAGCCATGTCAGCACAGCTGCAGGGACCAGCCCCAGCAAAGCCGCCTGGCGCTGCTCAGGACGTTGCTGCAGCTGAGGCCATTGCGGCTATGTGGCGCGGGGGCCTCACCAACACGGGCGGGCGCACCCTGGGCAAGGTAGCTGCCTACACGTCGTCGAGCGGGGCGCTGTTTACACCCCGCCCTGGGCTGCAGATCAGCCTACGCTACGTGCTTGCTCGTGAGGGGGCCGATGTGCGCATTGTGCAGAATCAACGGGAGGCCGTGGATGAGTCACTGACCCAGGGCCTCGCAGTGCTGCTTGACCGACTTGAGCGCCGCCATGGCAATGATGTTAGCACATCCCACGTGGTGGTGGCGATTGCTTCCGACTCACGTGCACATGCGCCGCTGCTGCAGCGTGCACGTCAGCTGGGATGCAGCATACTCGCAATTTGCAATGCGCAGGCACACTGCCCCGAGGCGGATGCATTGCTGCGGTGGCGGGTGCTCTCAGCTGGGCGATATATTGTGTAACATCCCATCGCTGGTGTTTGACTCAGACGATATGAGTCTTGTTGAATGTTGAGCTCTCCGCGCGATGCAGCACAAGCCCTGACCTAAAGTCAGCTGCTCAGGGCGGCCGAAGCATTCACAAAGACACGATACGCATGGACCTGTTTACACAGCAAACGCGTACACAGCTGGCCGCAGGTTCCTCTCGGACGGCTGCATTGACATTCTACAAAGGAAAACACTGTTTAGTTGTTCACGCCAGGGATCACGCCCTGCGATGGAAGGAGGGTTATGGGCGGTATTTGCGATTAACAAACACTGCATCAACCACGGGGATGTCACAGCAGTATATTCCAAAGATCAAACGGACCCCAGCGAGTGTGAGCAGGGCCTGCTGTGCAGGCTGCTGCACGGCCCCCACCCCTCCCCGGCCCCCGGGACCCGCTTGAGCGATAAGTGTGAGCGCCAGGCGATGAGTGTGAGCGGGGCTCACCGAGCTGAGCGCGCCGAGGAAAGCAAAGCCTACGGCGTGGCCGAGGGCGCCCCAGCCCAGGGTGTCGATGATGGTGAAGCCCGCGGGGTCGTTGGTGGTGCCGATGAAAGACGCGTCCTGGGACAGGGTCTCGAAGTAGCTGTTGCCTGGATGACGGAGGGGGTTGGGGCTCAAGCCATCAACTGCACCATCCTGAACGCGCCATCCCAGGCCATCCCCGGCATCATCCAGGTAATTACCATGTCACATTGTCAACGAAACAGTCTAATAACCTGGGAGGCCTTTTAAACCCCTGCCCTAGCCGACCCTGATGATGGCTTGGGGATGATCAGAGCCTGGGCCTCGGGGTGGCTGCCTGGGCCAGCAGCCCTGGCCTGTGCATCTTACGATGTCAACGCCTGTGCAATAGTCTGGGCTTGCCGCGCTCACCGGTGGTCTTGGGGCCCACGTTCTGCGAGTTCGCCTGGGTGCGGCGCTGGAAGGGCAGGAAGGCGAAACGCCCAACGAGCAGAGAGGCCGCAGTGCTGGCAGATATCTGGAGCATGGATCAAGGGGACCAGGGGGGACGTGCGAGTGCAGTAGCGGGGTAGCGTCAGCTGGGGATGTAGCGATGATGGGATGCTGCAGGCTGCGTGCCAGTTGGTGGTGCTGCCGCACAGCGCCGTTCTGCGACGTCATGCTGCTGCGATCGCCACGCACGAACCGCGGTGCATGGCATAGTCCACCAAGACTGAGCGCCGGATGAAGGCCATCTGACCGTGAATAACGCCTCCAAATTCCTCATTCAAGGTTTTGTCACGTCCCATTGAGCTCATACGGCACCCCCGACCAGGATCTGGGGTGCGCCAGTCACTCAATCCTCAGTTGAGCCCCTAGACGCGGCCGTGCAAGCCGTAAACTCACAACGAGAGCAGGGGCCACCGCCTTCACGGCGACCGGGCGCCTGGAGGGCCGCGCGGTGGCGAGCGTCGGCCTGCGAGCCACCGCGGACTGCTTCTGCATGGCGGCCTGCATTGTGCCGGGTTGTGGACTTGACGTTGAATGTTGCAACAATCGGTGGCACAATGTACGTGCTGGGGAAACGATCAAGTTGTGTCGCGGGTTCGAGCTAAAACCCCCGGTGACAAGCTGCGGAGAAGCTGGCCACGCGCAATACATGTCTTTGCACGGTGGTACTCGCGGTGCTTGCGCTACGACGCTCTTGGGCACTCAGCGCACAATGGCGTCCGCTGGCATCACCCTGCCTGCCGAGATCGGCACGCATCCTGATCCTTGTGCGCTATGATCCCTCACACGGTACTCCTTGACCAATGCTCCCATTGCTGCAGAGCACATGGTATGATCGTGAAGTTACTTGTCCAGGCAAGATAACACTGCAACAGGACCCTCACTGTTGACTGTGGGAGCAGGTCTTGACTGCGGGAACAACAGGCGGTTGGCCCCACGGGCGCTTGCACAACCCCTTTTGTCAGTTTCTGCGTCATGCCGCAACAGCGGGCGCATGCCAGCGACGCCACGCCACCTTGGCGCAGGCTGCCCACACTGGTAGCGCCACGGCGCCGAGCGCGCAGCTTGCGCCAGCCACAAAGGCCCAGGCTGCACGAGAGCAGCCAAGCACGCCCTGCGGCAGGTCCACGCGTTCTGGATCATGATGTGCCGCCACCACCTCCATTAGCATGGCCTGAACCTGTTCATACGGCGTCGAAAGTGTGTGTGTGTGTGTGTGTGTGTGTTGTGTGCAAATGCACGTGCGGGTGTGCGTGCGCGGGTTTGCAGGCAATCAGCCCATATCCCAATCACATGTGTCCTGACCCGCAGACAGTGGTCCAGGGTGCGCAGATTGTACAGCTCCTATAAGGAGCGCCAACCACCTGCCACTGATGCGCCAAGTTGTTTGCCCCCATAGCGGGCGCCAGTGCGCCAGCCAGCGTCTTGACTGCAGCACGGGGGCCGACCACCACCGCCAGCAAGTGGGCCATCACCCGCACAGCCAGCGGCAGCTGGAATTCAGGAGGGGCCCCGCCGTCGTCGGCACCACCCGCCGCCTGGGGTCCGCCCGGACCCTGGTGTTCCACACCTTCGCCGGCGGGGCCTGCTAGCGCCATGCCCGCAGGGCCAGGGTCGACCCAGCCGCCACCGCCGCCACCGCCGCCACCGCCGCCACCGCCACCGCCGCCGCCGCCGCCACCGCCGCCGCCGCCGCCACCGCCGCCACCGCCGCCATCAGGCACCGGCAGGCCCCAGGGCTCTGCATGCACGCTCTCCTCCATGCCCCCCGTGTGCATGACAAAGGTCACGTCAGGGGTGGAGGCCAGGAAGGCGGAGCGCAGCCGCTCCAGCATCGCCAGGTCGCGCGCGTCAGGCTCCGGCGCAAGGGGCCCGTGCCGGTGGCCGCCCCCGCCCGCGCCTGTCCCGCGGCGCATCCAGCTGGGGAGGGCCGCGAGCGTGTGGCGGCCAAAGCTGACGTTGATGCTCTGCAGGTTGAGGGCCGTGAGCCGGCGGAGCTGCGCCACCACCCAGTCGCGGCGCGTGACCAGTGAGATCGTGACGCCGTGCAGCGCCAGGGAGTGCAGGCTGCCGCGCGCCACCAGCGCGTCCACCAGCTCGCGCAGCTGGGGGGTCCACGAGGGTGCGTGGTCAAGAGGAGTGCGGGGGTGCGGAGCAGAAGGGTTGGCGTCTATGGGCATGCTTTGCCTTCAATCTGGAGGTGTGCATGTGAGAAAGGGGCCGCAGGAGTGGCATGACAAGCGCCCCGGGCATGGCCCCTCGCCACCCTTCAAGCTGCGCGCCAGGCCGCTTCCAACCCCTTACCTGCCATGGCAGCAGCAGAGGCAGGTCGAGGTGCACCTCAGACAGCGCCGCTAGGCCAGCAAGGTGGCGCACCCAAGTGCCGCCCGTGGGACCGCCACGCCTGAAGAGCGCAGGCAGCAGGCGCGACCAGGGCAGCATGAACAGGCTGCCAGCCTCCAGGCCGTAGGTGAGGCCGTACTCAAACGCAGACGACAGGGGGGTGTGGTAGAACGCGCCTTGGGGTTGCAACGGTGGCGTGCAGGCAGCGGGGTGAGGCACGGCGGGCTGGACAGGACGGCAGGCTGGAACGCCAGCTTGGGGCGTGAGATACCATAGCAGCCGGAACGAACGGCACCAGTTATGCCCGTAGCATCGCGCCCTGTTGACCAGTTGGCGCAGTCCGCTGTTTCAAATGGTGCGGCCCTGTCACCTGGTCCGCTGATGTGCAGCGCTTGCAGTCGGCCGCAGTGCGGCAGGGCCTCCTCCAGCAGCCTGTCAGCGGCGGCTGCATCGACCAGGGTCCAGTCCAGCTCCCGCAGCTCACAAAACACGGCCGCCAGGCGCTGGTGATCAACGCAGGGCTGCTTCTGGTGGTCTGAGTGAGGCCGCTCCGGACGCTCGCGGCTTGCAGAGGCACCGCGCTCCAGCTGAAACTGCACGTGCATTGCGCGCAAGCTGGTCAGGCCGGGGGGCAGGGACTCCACAGGAACACACAGCAGCTGCTCCTGCATGGGAGTCAGTGTGTCTGCGGCGCAGGGCAGGTGGCAAGGCGTGGATGGGTTCATTGGAAGGGTGCCAGGGCTGCAGTGGCATGAGAAATTTCATGACCAGGCAGCCCAAGCCTGTAGGGCGCAGCAGCCAGCCTTTTCATGTTTTGCCAGCGTCACGCCACGCACTCATCCAGTGGTGCAGCGCCAGGGCCTTGAGTCGCGTGAGGGCCCCCAACCGGGACATGCCGCCGCCTGTGAAGCACAGCACACCGTCCAGCTGGAGGAGGAGGGCGGAGGGTGGAGGTGTGGCGGTGACTCTGGTAGGTGACGTGCGTTCATT